TTCACCAATACTTTTAAAGGAAATCTAACTGCTGCTTATCACTACGGCAATGAAATTGTAAAGCTGTAAAGAACTGCACTTATTTTGTTGCTCCAGGAAATCCGCTGAATCTTTTTGTGAATGTAATTTTAGCTTACAACAGTTACTGTAAAAATGTGACTTTTCAACTTTCAAACAAAAGCTTTTACTGGCACTACCAATGTCTTCACCAGATGATGAGCCATCACCTTATCTCACTTTAATCAACTGCTCTTCAGGCAAATCACAAGCACCAGCAATAGAGTACATTCATCTGAACGAATGCACAAGCACTAGAACTCCAAATGATGAAGATGGCTTCATCGGCAAATACATCGACCACAGTGAACTGCAGCAGGTTGCCACTTATTTGGAGCTGTAAAAAGGCGATGCAAATAACGAGGAGAACGAATATGCCACAATTCACTACTACCAGTCAGTTTTGCCACTGTACGGTCGATGCACTGGAGCTAGGGTCCGTCGAATGGCTGCCACCACAATGGTGACACTTCTTGCTCTACTGCTCATTGCACTGCTCATCTGGCGGCTGTACTTTATCACTCCAGCCAAACTTGCCCTTTATTCTGGACCTCAGTATTGCACCGGCTTCAAGGACAAAGAGAGGCTTACCGCTTACCGTCGATCCTTTGTGCGCAACATAACCGTGGAGGCGTTTTCCGTGTATCAAGAGTACGCTTGGGGAAGCCCTGCGGTGAAACCTGTTTTCGGCAACCGGCACAATATGGCTCATTTGCCCCACTTACCGGTCTGACACTGGTTGACTCGATGAGCACCCTCTGGACGATGGGGCTGAGTGAGCAATGGCGAGAAGGGTTGCAGTGGATAACTGAAGAGCTCAACTTTACATCAGCATTTCAAAATCAAAGCATACATAGCGATAAACTTATTGTCGACTACTTTGGTGGACTTCTATCTGCTTATGCCTTTTCAGGAGAAACGGTGCTGCTCAATCAATCCATTGATCTGTTGTTGCTGATGGAAACCGCAGGCGCATTTGATCCTTTCTCTGGCATGCTGGTAGAACTGAAGCTTCCAAGGAGCCCGGTGGTGAACCGGCTGCTGCTGCAGCTGTTGCTTCCTTTGCCTCCAGTGATTTGCCTTCTTGCAGCGGAAAGGGAGGAGGAGGAGGAGGCGCTGGAGCTGCCGGCAGCAAGGAAAGCATCTACCTCAGTGTCACCGATTTGAGCAAAGATTAAGGAAGTGGTAGTGGGTCCTCTTCCTCTAAGGTCGAAACAAAGAAGAGTCCACCCATTGAGACTTTTTTTTTATTCTCATCCAATGCAATGCATTGAATGCATCATTACCCGTTTCCACAGCAGCAGCAGCAGCAACTGATGCTGCCAAAATCTTCGTAATTTGTAGCATTTTGCTTTTTATTTTGTTAAGTGTGTATTAAAATTTTTCTCCAGGTACACACTCACAGAGGTGCTGAGCTTAAACTTGAAGGCACATCTTTTTCGGGTACAGNCATTTTGCTTTTTATTTTGTTAAGTGTGTATTAAAATTTTTCTCCAGGTACACACTCACAGAGGTGCTGAGCTTAAACTTGAAGGCACATCTTTTTCGGGTACAGTCTGTGTTTACCGCAAATAGGCAGCGGATGGCCTCGCTCATTGAAGAACCACTCAGTGAGGGGCAGCTTTTGTGCTTCACTGTCGTCCTCGTTGATCAGGTATAGGTACTTGAGTGTCCCGGAGAAGAAGAACTCCCACTGAATGTCCAGCTTAACAGTGGGCACGACGTTGACGTTGGCCACGTCGGAGTAGCCGCCACTGGCCGTCCTGCTGTGCCGGTAGAAGGCCATAGTCAGCTCCCAGGCGCGTTCCCGGTACTTTTCCTCGCCAGTGAGGCGCCAGAGAATTAGGTACGATTCAGGTAGGTGAGAACTGAAAGAAAAAATTACCAAAATACTTTTCGGTCAGACAACAACAGCATCATCACACTTACTCGAGCACTCCTCGAGGTTCAAATCGCGTTTTTTTCAGCCAAAAATGATGCGGCAGCAGTTTAGTTTTGGTGGCCATTGATTCTTGATAGCAGGTTTCTGTCAGCTTTACAGCCAGTTCCATGTGTATTCGATAAAGAGAAGAGTTAACAAAGAGTAGCTCTCTAGAGCTTAAAGCAAACATTCCACCTAGCTGACAATGAAAGTCGCTCATGCCGATGCCGCTCTGGCCACTCGCTGTGTCGTGTTTGACTACAACCATTGTAGTGTCATTGTTATTATTAAGCAGGCGGAAAATGCCCACCTTGATGTAGGCATTGACTGCATCGGTGTACAACTTCAAAAGGGCCGCATCTTCTCTGCCCAACTGAATGTAAGAGTTAAGCGCGTTGTAGAGGTAGGCGGCGTTTTCCAAATTCACCATATTGGTCACCGGTTTTCCCGTGGTCAAGTTGAGCTGATCAAGGTATAGGCCACTAGAATTCTGCAACGAATTTTCCACAAGTATTTTTCTAACTTGCAACAATCTCTCAGCAATTCTCTGGCTGCTATTTTTGTTTGCAGTCAAGTTGGAAAGTAGAATAAACTCCGGTTGCTGAAAACCAATAAAACCGATGTAGTTGGTTGTGTCATTAGGCGGTTGTTGGCTTTTCTTTGGATCAAACTGCCTTAAAAGCATTCCAGTGGAGGGACTAAATGCAGTTGGCTCTAGTACGTTGTTCATCAATTCTAGTGATTTATCAAGAAAAACTGTCTCGCCGCTAAGAAAGTAAGCAGAGAGCAGGCCTCCGAGATAAATTGTTACCATGTCTAGGGCACGAACGTTGTCGTTGAAAGCAGCAGCGTTCAACTGTTTTGTGATCCATTTTTGCCCTGCCCTCCATTCTTTTTGCAGTTTCATCGTCCACAAAGTGCTCATAGCTCCGATAATTGTTGCTCCAGGAAAGGTAAAATTTGTCGCGTATGCGGGCACTCGATCATTGGGTTTGACAGCCATGGCGCCCCAAGCGTATTTTTGGTACAGTGCAAAAGCGTCTCGAGTCATGTTGCGCACAAAAGACCGTCGACAAGCAAGACGCTGTTTATTAGTGGACCACTGGTCTCCAGAGCAAAATTTCGGTTCAGCAGAACACATGTCTTTTGAATAAACATCGTTTGTACCGCAAATGGGCAGCGCCTGACCAAAACTGTTAAAAAACCACTTGTCTAGCGGTAGTAAGGTTTTGTTAGAAAATATGAGGTAAAGGTATTTGAAAAAGTCGGCGAGAATGTGCACTCCCTGAAAGTCGTTTTTCTTCGCTGTAAGCGAGTTTACGTTAGGATGGTCGGTGTAGCCACCGTTGTCCGTTCGGCAGTGGGCGTAAACGGCCAGCGTCAGCTCCCAGGCTCGTTCCTGGTACTTAGTGTCGCCCGTCAGTCGCCAGAGGATAAAATAAGTTTCAGCCAGTTCAGATCTATATTTGATATAATAAAGATATAAAAACAGGTCAATAGGGCTGTACACAAAAATCAATCCACGTTACGTTAGCAATCCAATAGCTTTGATGGTGACGTTCTGCATAAATGTTCCTGGCAGCAATTTTGTTTTAGTGCCGTTTGCAGCCTGGTAACACGTTTCGGTAATGTTCACCGCCAGTTGAAAATGCTGATCGGCGGTGGCGGTCCGGTTGATCGCCTTCAGCTCTCTGGCCCCAATGGCCAACATGGCGCCCAGTTGACAGGCGAGGTGAGACATGCCAAAACTGTGACGTTTTGATTTGCTGTCGTACTCTCGCACATATAGCAGTCCGTTATCCATAAGCTTAAACATTCCTGCCTTCAGGGTGTTGTCCACTGCCTCAGTATACAACTGCAGCAGCGACCGGTCTTGTCGGTCACGTTGAATGTACGAGCGAAGCATATCGTAACAAAAATCGATGTTATGCTCAAAAAAAGTTCTCAAAGTGCTGGAAATGGCTGCCCCTGTAGTGACGTTAACCCGGTTGGGAGGCAAACGGTGATCGTCAACGGTGGTGATGTTGCTCATTAGTTTTTGAACATTAGTCAAACGATCCATGAGCTGCAAATCGGCGGTTAGGTTGGCGAGAAAAATTAGCTCCGTTTGTTGAAAACCGACGCTGCCGATAATGTTCCAGCTGTGATCTGACACCACTCTTTTTTTATTGTCATACATATAAATAAGCATGCCAGTGCTTGGATTAATTGCTGGCTCCAAATTCTCTAGAAACTCCCGGGCCCGGTCCAAAAACACAGTTTTTTTCTTGCCACATAAAGCGTAAGCAGACAACAAACCGCCAATGTACTGCGTGATGACGTCTTTTGGTCGCACCTGCTGCGTGCACTCTGACACGTTCATCTTTGTGGTGATCCATTCTTCTCCAATAATCCACTCTTCTTGCAAGTCCATCACCGCAAAAGTGCTCATTACTGCCACAATACTTACTCCTGGGTACTGCATATTTCGGCCTATGGTGGGTTGCTGGGCTATAGGCGCTAGACCTTCTGCGCCCCAGGCAAACTCTCGGTACAGCCGAAAAGCCTCTTGGGTCATGTTCCGCACAAAGTCCGCTCGACAGGCGTTTCTCTCCAAAGTTTCAGTGTCGGCAGTGCAGTGTTTTTGGGAGAGAGAGTGTACGCTTTTTCTATTGTAAGGTAGTGATGATGAATCAGTGGTGTTCCGCTTTCTATTGATGAACGCTCCAAGGAGGAGGACGGCGATGATTAGGGCAATAATGACGGCCAATGAAATTATCCACTTTCGCAGTGTCGCTTTGTGCCTTGTGATTGAGGCGTAGTTTATTTGTGAGTAGTACACTTCTATTTGACTGTTTACATTACTGTGATCAGTTTGGGCCTCCTCCAGCTCTAGATAGGCTATGCTGCCGGTCGGCTGATTAT